AGGTCTTCTGTAAGAACAGCAAGTCCTGTTAACCATGGGGCAATCTCTGAAGTCCAAGTCACCAAATATAAAACGTAATTTGTATTTTTCCACTTTTCCCCATAATGACAATAGACATCTTCTTATACTCAGGTAGGTATAAGTTTCATTATTATTTACCAATCCATAAAGTTTCTTTATGTTACTTAGGTTCTCATACCCAACCACTGCCCAACCCTGTCTGCAGAAAAATACAACAATCTGATATTATAGACAAATTTATATATGCTGGAATGTATTAGGATAGAACCAGAGTTTAGAGACATCTGGCCTTCATTCATCTTGAATATATGTTTAAATTTATCTCTTTTGTTGCCCATGATAATTGTTCATTCTTAATATTAAATAGTGTAGCATTGTATAGCTACACGGCAAGTTTTATAATTTAGTTTATTTCATGTGTATATATGCTTGCCTACATATAGGTATGAAGAGCGCATGCATGCCTGTTGCCCATGGAAGCCAAGAGAGGACATTGAATCCCTTGGCACTGGAGTTAACAGTTGAAAACTGCCATGCTGGTTTTGGGAAATGAGTCTTTGCCTGTTGCCTGTTGCTGAGGTTGTTTTCAATTTCAGTGTCTTGTATATAAAGCTGTTGTGAACTGAAATAAATAAGTCTTTAAAAGAAAATATGTCCTCTTTCTCCAGGTTATATATTTGGGTTGTGATGGCCAGATGACAATTAACATATGAAGAAACAGAAAAAGATTTTTCCAAGTTATCATCCTGTTTTCCATGGCCACCAGCAGTGGGTATGGGAGAGTCATCCTCCACAAACTTGCCAGGTCTTTGTATGACAAGTCTTTATTTCTGAGTATTTTATGGGGTTGTCTAGAGTCCCCTCAGAGTCACCTGTTGATGGAGGAAGGTCATTGGCTAATAAAGGAACTGCCTTGGCCCATTTTATTGGTTAGAAGATAGGTGGGAGGAGTAAACAGAACAGAACGCTGGGAGGAAGAGGAAGTGAGCTCAGACTCCACAGCTCTCCTCTCGGGGGCAGATGCCTCAGAGAGACGCCATGCCCCGCTCCTGGGCAGACACACGAGATGAAGCTCCGACCTAGAATCTTCCCAGTAAGACCGGTGCTCACAGATTATTAGAGATGGGTTGATCGGGATAACAGAATTAGCCAGTATGGGCTAGGACTAAAGGGCCAAGCAGTGTTTAAATGAATACAGTTTCCGTGTAATTATTTTGGGTAAAGCTAGCTGTGGGGGCGGCCGGGTGCCTGGGATGCAGCCCTGCCGCCCTTATTACTACAACCTGTCTCTCTTCCCTAAGTGTTAAGGATGTTGCTGCTGTATGTTTCTCTTAGTGGAGCATCTACTCACCCTTCTGGTCAAGTTTTATTTCCTGAATTGTCTATTTTCTTAGTGTCTCCGTTAGAAGCTTTCTGTATTCTGGATACAAGAAGACTGTCATCTGATATACAATTTCCCACATTCATTTTCCCAGGTAAGAAAAATATGTTTCTATCATATATTTGGAAGAATAGATATTTTCTCACTTTATGGAATTCATAACACTCCAGTTCTTCATTTAATGAAAGGGGGTTTGCCATATCTAAGAAGTTTGTTTGTAATTCATGAACCTGAACATCCAATTGTATTCTGCTACAAGATTCATGTTTAGGTTGTAATTTGGACTTCTTTTAGGTTTATTTTCCCTATTTACTGAGGGTCTGCCTGTATGTCTGTGTGTGCCAAATACACGTTTGAGTGCAGATGCCCACTGAGACCAGAAGAGACTGTCAGTTCCCCTGGATCTGGAGTTACAGACATCTGTCACCCACCATATGGGTGCTGGAAACTGAAGTCAGGTCCTCTGCAATAGCAAAAGGCACTCTTAACTTTTGAGATGTCTCTCTAGTCCTGTGTAGATCATTTGTTCATTCTCGATTGACTTTTGTATCCTGCGATATACGATTGTCTATATTTATATTTGTGCATGGGGAGGTCTGCTTGTCCCAAAATAAGACAGAAAGACAGGGCATTGAAGGGGATATGAGAGGGAACACACAGCCCCTCACCCTGTAATCATTTTTACATTTTTCTGACATTCAAGAAACCTCAAGCCAACTGATAGAGCCAAAATTACCTGCAGATATGATGCAACTATTCCTAAAGACATCCCAAATAATGTTTAAAAATAACAACAAATAAACTAGAGTCTGAAGATAGGGTTCATTCTTTAATATCACTGGATGTCTTCCAGAGGATCCAGGGTTGATACCCAACACCTACCCGATGGTTCACAACTGTCTGTAACTCCAGTTCCGAGAGATCTCATAAAGTCTGGTACTGTCTGTGGGCATTAGGTACTCACGTGGTGCACAGACTTCCCTGTGGAAAAGCATTCAAAAGCAGAAAATAAAAAACGCAGTTATGCTTTCTTAGGGGCAGAATACTTGTAGCCTTGAGATGGATGATGATAGCACTCTATTCTATCGCCTAAGTCACATAATCACCTTACAATTTAATTTACTGAAAGAAACTTTAAAAGGAATAAGCACATTTAAAAGCATTGCTTTTTAGTTTCATTTTTTACTTTTTAATAACCTATTGAATATTTTTTTTCCTAATGGAAAAATAGAACCCATTTAAAGAGTAAAAATATTCTTATAGTTAATTTAAAAACCTGAATATAGGCTTTAATGTAATTTAATCTTGAAATTTTCTGAATTACATTCTTTCAGCAATGTAACTTTAGAGCCATAAAAATCCTCCCATTTCTCCCTCTCCCACTGTACCTCCCTCCCTGCCCACCTCACATACCCTTTGCAATGACACCTAATCTCAAGTCTCTCTCCAGTCCACTCTCAGGCCATCATGCAGGAGCCATCCTAATTCTGTGTGAGCTTCTATCCACAGGATTAATAAGCTCACAACCTTTGCTTCATCCTGGCTGTTTCTGAAATTCTTTACTGCATCCTAGATTCATCTTTACCAGGGTCAAGGTCATCAAAGGGACAGGGTTATCCTCAGGCTACTGGTCAGTGTGCTGGGCTGTACCTCCCTACCACCACCAAGAGTCCCAGAAATCCTCGGTGAAGAGCATATGCCTGCTTCACTGAAGTGTCTTTGAGTCTTTGCTAAAGGTGTCCCCTCACACATGTGTGACTCTTCTGTCCCCTTCATATTCTTTTCTGTCTTATTGTCATTTCCAATCAGGCACGCTGTCTACATTTCTCTAGGTTTATAAGGAGTTTGGAAGTCAGGTGTTCATCCTCCAAGTTTGTTCCTTTATAAGGTTGTTTCAAGCTGGGGTTCTTCATATTCACTGTGAGTTTCAGGATAAGCCCATTAGTTTATGAAAAGTCTGTTAGAGTTCTGTTGGTATTGCACTGGATCTATAGGACTGTATGAGGAGAACAGACACCTGTATCTTCCATCACATGAAGATGATTGTAGCGTGAGTTCTAATTGGTCTTAATAATAAAATCTGGAGTCAGATATTAAGTGGTTGGAGCTATAAGATCAGAACAGCAGAGCAGCCAGACACTAGTTCTTTCCTCAACAAAACCCTCAGACCAAATGGAGCATCCTGTCTCTACAAGACCTCAGACTGACTGCCTGGATCTCCTATCTCCTCCCACCTTATATTCCTCTCTTTTCCCAGCCACATTCCTTTCATTCTCCATCTCCCTCGTGCTGGGATTAAAGGTGTGTGACACCAAAGCACTTTGATGAAAGATGTGAGTCACCACTGCCTGACTCTGTTTCTCTTTTAGACTGGATCAATCTAATGTAGCCCAGGATGGCCTTGAACTCACAGAGTTCTGTTTCTTAAGTGTTGGGAAAGGTGAGTTCCAACACTGCCTGTCTTCTGTGGCTAACTAGTGGCTATCTGCACACACTGATTCTCAGGCAAGCTTTATTGTCATGGAAGAAACAAAATATCGCCACAGTCGATGAATCTATACATCTTTACTCTCAGCAATGAGTTGTCCCATTCAGTGTCTAGGCACTACAGAGAAGTGGGCAGAGTTTTCCTAATTATTTCATATTTCCTGATGCTATCTCCAGTGACAGGGATTTTAAATTACAGCTTCCACACATTCATTTCACTGTGGTCAGCTGTCTGTGTTAAATTTAGACAGAGTTATTGATGAATCTTTTAGGTTAAAATATTTAATTACATTCTCTATGATGAAAATGTCTTTGATGCTAACATATATTTGCTGTGTTTAAAATTCAGTACTTTTAAGTTGCAAGTGAATTAGGAGAACAGAAACAAATGTCCAACACCCAGTTTGGGGGAAAATTTCTAAGGCAGCCACAGGTCAAAGGTTTGCCCCAATGGCATCTTTGGAATCATAGAGATAGTCCTTTACCTCCCAGCTAGCTCCATCAGGGAGGTGCTGAGATCACGGTGGAGAGAAAGAAGGGGATACATGTGAAGAGTTAGGTATGTATGTGTAACTCCAGAAAGGTTTGTATTATGAAGAATACTTAGGTAATTATTTTCAAAATATCTAATATTATTTTCCCCAACACAAAAAGGAAAAGGTTAGTACTCGTGTGTTTTCCCTCTTGTTTTCCCATCCAGTCATGCAGATTTTAGCAGTGTTGCTGTGGACTTGTACAGAGGGGGTGTTTTATGTATGGTTCTTTCCATGTTTATTATAACCATGACGCCTGCTAAGTGTTGCTCTGATACCTACTTCCCTGTGCAGTTACTAGTATACAAGCATTGCTTGTCTTTGAGTAAAGTTTCCCTTTTATCTTTTGTTTATTAATGGATTTACTCATGCGTTTGTGTCTACTCAGAAACACCCATTTCTTAAAGGAGTACTCCTTTGTCATCATTATATACTGTGATGCTTAAATTATCCCATAACATGCCCGTGGGAGTACATTCAAGAGGACCTGCTCTTCATTTGTTATCTGTCTAGAATTCTGGATTATCTGACCACCCCTGGGAAGAAAGCCAAAAGCAAATGCTTCTTGTCAGTGATACTTTGTGTCCTCTGCCTATCAATATCAGGTCTCTTCTATGGGAAGAACAGCAGGACTGCAGAGAGAACAAGCAGAATGTTGACAAGAAGCAGACATGAGCCCTTGTTTCCAGTATGTGAGTCATCATTGCCACCAATGTGAGTGTGTGTGTGTGTGTGTGTGTGTGTGTGTGTGTGTGTGTGTGATGTGTACATGGCTGTGTATAAAGGGTCTGTGAAATGAACAAAGAAGAGGAAGATGTCACTGCACATCTTTGACTTGACTGGATGCAGACAGACTACTCCATCCTTATATTCAGTACAGTAGAGTGACAAGATCATGTGGGACTCACCAGGTGAGTCATTTCCTTTTCTCTTCCCATCTGTGTGACCAGCAGCTGGTCTGTGATGCCTTGTAGGAACACATCCTGTTGAGCAGGTCGCAGCAAAGAGCAGCACACTGTGAAACAATGGCATTCATAGACTCCCCAGATGACTGAACCCTGTAGGGGTCCCTTTAAATGACCAGGACTGAAATGGAAGCAATCCCCATCAGACCATTTCCCCGAATGGGCCATGCATGACTGCATCACATTTGGAGGGATTGCTTATTAAGATGGTAGAAATCTGGATCCACAACAGACACTGAATCATGCTTATTAAAATGGTAGATATCTGGGTCCACAGCAGACACTGATTCAAACCCTAGGAAGTGAGTGTGGCATAGCCACTTCTTTCTGATGGCTGTCCATGTTAAAACGTATTGCTAGTGTGTTTGATATTCTGTCTTCCAGGATATGAAGTCACAGACTGCTTAAGTCCATACCATGTTCTCTTGTTACTGCCTTAAATACCAGTGTGTTGCATGGCATATCAAATAGACAAATCAATTCCTTCGTGTACGTTTATCCAGATATTCACATAGTGGCCTCTTTATTGAACACCTTGTTCCTGCACTGTGAAGACTAGCACGGGTCCTTGTATATCGTGTTAGATAGGCAAACTGTCAGTAAGCAGAAGAAATCAGTAATCACAGCAATTCCGTGTATTATTGGCGCTTTAAAGATCATAAAGGGGACAGGAAATAGTTGTGATGGGGATTGTCGTATGTGATGTTACCCCCAAAGGTTTCAGAAGTTAGCATGTGATCTGAGTCCTGAATGGCAAATAGAAGCAAGACCGTGCACAAACCAAGTTGTGGGCGTGCTTGCTTCCATGGAGAACAGTGGATCTAAGAGCAGAGAACAAGGCTAGTTGCCAGAACCTTGAAGACAACGTGGACACTGCTTGGGGATAGGACAGAAAGGAAAATGTTGTCATTGTCAGCTGTGTATGACATTTGGATTATATGATCTGTGTGGAAGGTGAGTTATGGAATTGTCATGATATGTTTCCTTTTGGTAGAAGGTGACTTGGCACTGAACAGAGAAAGGCCTGGGGAGGGCGGGATGAGGTAGTGTGTGGAGACAGTGGAGATGGTTCCGAAGACAGGGGAGGGATGGAGGTATGAAAGAGGGATGAAGCCATGCTGCAGTGATCAGCAGGAGAGCTGCCCTGTGCAGCCTTGTCTGGGAGAGGGCAGATAGCACCTGGATGCGCTGTGCATTTTCCTTGTGGAGACATTGCTCTAACATCTCTGGATTTGTCTGACCACATGGAGACACAGTGCTTCCATTTACTGACATCAGTTATTCCACGTGTATTGACACAGGATAGTTTGAATACCCAAACTAGTCATTGTAAAACTTAACAATTTGATAACGAGTTGCTGATGAATAATTTTCAGATGTAAAGTTTTCTAAGTACAGCTAACTGTAGCATAATTTCCAACAGAATAAGAATCTAACATTTGTCTCTTAAAAAGTGAACCCAAAATTCAGTGTATTTTTGAAAATGCTGTTCTACAGCATGTACTGCTCTTGGCAGGTTTACAGATGAAGGAAGTGAGTAGGTTTTAGGCAAAGTTGAAGTGAAATCAGTCTCTAAATTCTGCAGCAACTGTTTGTCCCTATTTCTCCAGAAGAAGACTGCCTTTAGAAATGCTTATTTTTGACAGCTGGGCATGGAGCAAACATTCACAAGACAGAGGCAGTTGGATGTCTGAGTTCAAGGCCAGCCTGTAATTCCAATTGCATATATCAACATTAGTCTGTCACATATGCAGGAACTTGTGACTGGTATTTAAAGCAGGTATTATCACTAAAGACCCCCAACTTAGCACATGAGCAGTGTGATGCTCTCAATTCACAGAGTGGGAAGCACAGCTCAGAGCAGAGGGTCTCACTCTGTTTTCTCCTCAGAGAAATTCCCAGCCTGTGTTTGGAAAATGGGTCCAGGACATCCTGGCTCAGGGAACCAAAGTTGCTGGGGCTAGGAAGGTCCCACATCTCTCTGACTCTAGAAAAGTGGTTCAACCTGTGACTTGACCCCTTCAGCAAACGTCTATCTCCAAAACTATTTCCATTGTGATTCTTACCTGTAACAACTTTACAGCGATGATGAAGCAACAGAAATAATTTTCTGGTTGGGATCACCACGCATGAGGGACTGTATTAAGAGTCACGTCACAGCATAGGAAGGCTGAGAACCATTGCTGTACAGACATCCAAATGCAGAATCCGGCTTCTCAGATATCTCTGGGATCCCTTCATCATTGTCCCCAAACTCCTAGGGAGGCACAGCCCCACATCAGGACACATACACTCACATCTCCGTGCAAGGGAAATCCTGTTCTTCTTTCTCCGTCATTTCTATTTCCACACACTATGCTATATTTCCAAATTTTCTTTTTTTATGTCTTCAGCACTGAGCTTAAGGATGTGTCTGATTCTTTGACCAACCTTTTTCCTGTTTTGTGATTCTTCTGCAGGGTCTGGGTCATTGGCTGTGCACACACATCCACAGACAGTACAACAACAGCCTCTAGTCCCTTGTTGCTGACCTTTGGGAAGCTGGGCATGTAAGGTAGGTTTGCTGGCAGGAGACTTGCTCTCAGGAACAGGATGTCCTTGTCAGAGGCTGGACTCGAGGATGCTACAGCACTTAGATCTGCCCAGCATCTGACGGCCCGGTCCCAAGCTCTTCACAAATGTGGTGGGAGCACATTTGGGGATTTTTAAAAGTGGTCCCTAGACACTGCTATTGCTCCCCTGGCTGTGCACACATTCCCAGCTATATTCTTGATTTCTCTGGTAGCTGTTCAATGAGAATGCTATACCATGAAAAGAAATCACTGGTGAATTTAAAAAGCCACAGTATGGGGACTGGCGACATAGCTCTCGTGGCAGAATGATTGCCTAGAATGGAAATTGCTCTGTGTTCTTTGACCCTCTGGGCATGTTCACCCTCACCTGTAATACCAGCACTCAAGGCGTAGAGGGAGGAGGAAAGAGACAAGAGAGTCATTACTGTTTATGAGAGTATGACTCCCAGCCCCCATGGCAGATAGCTCACAACTGCCTTTAACTCTAGCCCCATCAGGAGTCAATGCCTCTGCCAATCATGTGCATACCACAGACAGACAGACAGACATAATTAAAAGTATAACTAAATTCTAAACAAGAAAAAAAAAGAAGCATCAACTCCAGGTCATTGACCAAGGGGAAAACACAGTGGAATTTAAAATATGAACATTATAAAGGCTAACGGAATCTAACAGTCTACAGTCTGGCAGGGGAGATGACTCAGTGGTTCAGAGTGCATTCTATTGTTGCTGAGGATCCAAGGTAGTTTCCAGCATCCATTTCCAACATCCTTGAAGGACCATACCTCAGCTCCAGGAAGGTATGACCTCTCCTGACCTTTGGAGGCATAGGAATTCATGTGTACATACACATAGGAATATACACAACGTAATTATTATTAAGTTATGTACATTTTAAAATTATGTACAAATTAAAATAATTGTTGTGAAACAATGAAGAAAAATGGTCAAATGCCAGGCAATAATGAGAACAGTTTTCATCAGCGTTAGGTGGCAAATGCGTGCACTTCCAGCTATTTGAATACTGGGGTTACACGATCATTACTGCTAAGAAGTTTCAGAACAGCCTTAATAGCACAGAGAGGCCCTGCCTCAAAATGAAAACCAAACAAAAACCAGAAATATCTCAGAAAATGTGAAATTTCTTAGAAAAACAATCTTAGAGTACATGGTTTTTCAAGAGATGTGGATCATTATAAAATAAATTTTTTGCAGGGAAATCAATGATAAAATTACTTATTTCGTGGCAATTCAACAATATACATGTAGAAATGGAATGAAAATGTTACTGGGCAGAGAAGAAAACAGTAGCATTAAGAATGTGTTTACATTAAAATGAATACTTGAGCTGGGGCAGTGTGGTAAGCTGGGAGGTCCAGCAGCACTCTGAAGGCTGAGGGAGGAAGGGGAAGAGTCCTAGGCTGGGCTGGGCTGCTCTGAGACTCTGCACTAAACACACAAAATAATTAGCAGGACTATTATCATTCCATTCACTGTGGGAAAGTTTCAGCTTAGTTCTGTCATGGGAAACCATCCTCTTTTCACTGGATGTTAGGCAGAGCCCTGTGTGTCCCTGGCAGACACATTAAAGATTACCATCCCCTAAATGGGGAAGTGACTTCCTCACCACCACATACAGCAAGGCGCACAGACAATGGCGGCTGGGACTCTACTCAGATAGCTCACTCTCTGGAGATTTCCCTGCAGACAGCCCTGTGCCTTAGGGGTAGGAATAAGCCCAGCGACAGACACAGATTTCCTTATGGTACTACATGTGCTTTCCTGTGGTGTTTGAAATTTCGTATCCAGGAAGGAAAGTACTTTAAAGTGTAAACTGAGAAAATTGCTTGTGCTCGGGTGGTGAAAGTGGGGCTGGGGAGACAGCTAAATCAATAAATTGCTGGCCTTGTGGGCATGAGGCCCTGAGTGTCATTCACAGAGAGCATCATCAAGAAAATGAAGTTAAACTACAGCAGGAAAAGTAGTAGGTGTGGTGGGACTTGCTTGTGTGTGAAGGTGGAGGCAAGCCTATCCCTGGAGTGTGCTGCCCAGCCAACCCAGCCTGCCTTGCGTGTTCCAGGCCAGTGAGAAACCTTGTCTAAGAAAAGCTTCAGGGGGATGGCGCCTGAGGTACAACACCGGAGGCTGCCTTCTGTCCCCTGGCCACATGCATGTATGCATACAATTGCAGAAGCACACACATATGCACACGGGCACACAACGACACACTGGATAAACGATGTTTATACCTTCTGTACTTTAGAAGTAGTCATTGTGTTCCGTTTCTGGGCAATGAAGTAGAAGGACAAATGGAATCTACTCTCATGCTCTGTGCATGCCTGTGTGCATATGTGTGTGTGTGTTTGCACACAGAGCTCCACCATCTCTATCTAATGAGGCTGCTTTATGTTAGCCTTAGACTGGGATTGGTCTCCAATCTTGGGTTTACATTTGATATACCTAAGATGTCAAGGTTTATGTACCAGGAAAATATACTGAAGTGAAAAAACACTGCTTTATCTCCAGAGGTAAGGTCCCTTCAAGTCCAGGTCACAGCCAATGTTCCCTCCCACCCAAACATAGACGCCACTGGGCCCAAGACTCTCACTGATGTAGTCCCCATTATGGCCAGGAGGTGGCATTCAAACTACATGCCTACATTTATTTTTTTTAAAGGGGCTGATGTTTTATGGAATAGCAATGCGTTTTCAGTGTGTTTGGAAACTTGATACAATACTAGAGCAGTTCCATTTATGGATTGCAGCAACTGTAGTGCTCCACAACTCACTTCATCCTCCCTGAGTGTAAAGTGGGCAGTGCACACGGGATACAGAGTGGTGCTCTGTAGAGAATATGAATGTGGTGGTCACCTTGAATCCCCTGACACTGGAATGGATGGATTTCCTAGACTTTCCATCTCCTCTCCAGGAGGCTGTGGTACAGTCCCCAGATCGCTGCCTCCCAGGCAAGTTGTATCCTGGTCAGTCACTGCAATTGTGTTGCACCATGCCTGCTGGGGACTTCCAAGAGCAACCTGGTGTTTGTGGTGTGGTTGCCATGTACTTTTCCATGAATATGGTCTGCATATGGTTTAGATGTAATATGTATTCACCCTTACGATTTAGACCAAGCTTGGGGTCCCTTCTCTGTTGCACGAAGGTTTCCAAAGTATTTCCTTTACCTCACCCTCATTTTGGAGCCACTAACTAGATACTGAAAGAGAAATTATCCCCTGAGCCCTACAAGAAGAGATAACACAGATGAAAAGAAGCAGGAACCCCAAGTCCCTTGACAGCCACAGGACATTGACTGAGCTACTGTTCTATTGCTGGGAAGAGGCGCTGTACTGAAGAGAATTTACAGAACAAAGCATTAAATTGGGAGCTTGCTTTCAGTGTCAGAGGGTTAGTCCAGTACCATCACTGTGGGCAGCATGGCAGCAGGCAGCCTGGCAGGGCACTGTAGCAGAAACTGAGAGTTTACATCCTGATCACAGGCAGGAGGCAGAGGGCTTTTGAGTCATCAGAACTCACACCCAGTGACAAACCTCGTCCAATAGGGCCACACATCCTAATCTTTCTTAAACCATCCACCATTGGGATTGAAACATTCACCAAAAGAGGCGTATGGAGATCATCCTCATTCAAACTACCACCGTCCTATAAGGGATTTCCTCTGCCCCATCAAGCTGCAGAGGGAGAATTGTGGTTGGCTGAGTACTCATAAGTGCATAGACTAGAATCGGTTCCAAGATGTCAGTCATTAATAGAAGAGACTACTGTGTGACATTTGGGGAGAGCAGGAGGCCATTCAAGTTACTTGTCTGAAATAATGTGCTCTTCAGAAGACAGTAGTCCCCTTTTGGTTCTCTTCATGGATACTGAAACTGTATACTGAAACTGTAAAGGCCTTGAGCACACAGGAATTATACAAGATTTAGTGAACGTACACACACACACACACACACACACACACACAAACATACATACACACACACACTTTCTTCAGCCATGTCATCAATTTATTTCTGTGAATTAGTAGTTTATGGTGGGCCAGGCATCATCATTCTAACCCCACATCTACATGTCTCACACAATTCCTTTTTCCCTTCTTTGATCTGCTCAAGTGGATTCCCATGGAAACCATTCAAAGAGACTGCCTTAAACTGTCTGGTCCACAAAGAAAAACAAATGCTGCCTTGGAAACCAAGGAAAATTTGGCCCATCCTTCCCATAGTGATAGCTATAAGGCCCCACCCTGCTCCTGGCTATATCTCCCTTACAGAGGGGAGGGAGGATAAACCTTGTGTGGTGTCTGTCTTGGAAGTTATCCTGGGTGCGGAATAGATTTTTTTCTGATTCTGCTTTCCATGTGATAGTGCAGTTAACATGTCTCCATACTTAACCAAGTATGGATGATCTATAAGAAAGCAATTTGTTTAAGGAGGACATTGAGGTTACACCAAGCATGTGACTTCCCTTTCCCACACTGTGGAACTAGAACCAGAGCTACAGGACACAGAGAGGAAGAGGAACCACGTCTTCAAAGACAAAGACAGGCAGAGGGGTCTAGTCTGAGCATGTAACTCTCCTGATTTCAGGAAATGCTCACCACAGGTTTCTCACATAGCAGTCCCCTCCTCTCAGCTCTCCCCGTGGGTAGTCTGATAGCAAAAAGACACTCTTCTCCATTGCTGGAGAAAATGCAACTGTTCTCCAAGCCTATGGATGGGTCTTATGCTAGTGAAAACCTCAAGCGTGCATTCTGGGGACCTGGGATCTTTCTTCTAAGGATCCATCCCAAAGAACACAGAAGGGGACACAAAGACTGTCAGAGAAACACTGCAGAACTCCAAGAGGAGAACTATGAAAATCGTCTGTGGGAAGGAAAGAGGGACAGCATGATCTCAGGTGTATCTAGGACTGCTTTCCTCTGCTTCCTGACAGTTTACCCATATAACACAATACTCCAAGATCCGTGG